ACGCCCGGCTATTTTTTGGTTGCAGCCGTCATTGTTGTTTGGCGGGTCCGGGCTGGGGATTCGAACCCGCCACCCTAGGTGTACGTGGCTGGCGCCTTAGCCGGTTGAGCCACAGGCGCCGAGCCCCAAGTAACTTTTCAAGCTATTTATGCTAGGACGAGGTGGGATAGGAACTCAGGTCTTTCCAGAGCCAAGACAAGTGTGCTTTAGGTTGTACCCCCAAAGCACACTGTATACTTCCTGTTTTACTCCTTCTCACACTGTCAAAGTCACTGTCATAGTCATGACCACCAATTACCAACCATGGCCAAGGCTTCTGGAATTCAGCCCAGTCCCACTTTCCATTTGTGCCCACTTCAGGCAGTGGTGGCTGTCTGCCAAGACACATGGCAGGGTTCAAGGATGACCTTACAGGCTGAAGCTCTAAGTGGCAACTGGTCCTTGGAAGGCCCTCCCTGGCCCTGTTCACTAGCTACAGTACTGACACACTTCCCTCTCCTTGACACTGCCACTTCCCTCTTCCCTGATCCTCTTGAGTTATCCCCATAGGTCCCTTAAACAGAGAAGTCCTCCTTAGCTCTAAAAGACAGGAAATCTCAGGAAAGGACTCAAGGGAAAGCCCTAGAGACTCTTCATTGACTCGACTGGTCTTAAACCTCACCCATTCTCCACGGAGCCTTAGCATCTCCTGTCGCTGCCCATCCAACCTTCTGCTGCAACACCTTGCTCAGGCCAGTGTTCTACCCACCACACCTGCTTCGGCCTGCTTTCCTGAGACCCGGGCCTGTCTCTCCCGCTTTCCTCTTACCCTCCCCTCCTTCCCCTTCCCTCCCCCTGCTCTTCTTTCCCTCCCCCCATCCTCACACCCCTTGCTTTCTCTTAGGTACCAGCCAAAACTATTTCTAGATAAATAGTAGAATTTTTTTCCAGAGCCTCCAATGGCTATCTTACTTCAAGGAGCAATCATCTTTTTCTTTTCCTTTTTTTTTTTTCAGTTATAGAGATGGAGTCTCACTATGTTGCCCGGGTTGGTCCTGACCTCTTGTCCTCATGTAATCCTCCTGCCTCAGTCTCCCAAAGCACTGAGATTATAGGTATGAGCCACCGCACCTGACATGTCCTTTTTCTTTACATCTTAGGGCTCCTTTCAAATACATTTTGCTTAACAAAGATATTAATGGTGCTGGCTGAAAGAGCTTAGGTCATGACAACCATCCAAGGGTATTTCAGATTTGAGGCCTAATTGATACCTCCAGAAAGTGAGCTCAGGCCTCAGTGGCTCCTGTTTGTGTGGGTCTGGACTCTGGGAACAAGGAAACTGGAGCCCTGATGTGTTTAAAGAGACAGAGAGAGAGAGAGGCGCCTGGTACTCAGGGACCTGAAATTAAATTCTATGGAAAGGAATTAAAGTTAAAAGTGTGAACAGAGGGCGGTGCCTGTGGCTCAGTGAGTAGGGTGCCAGCCCCACATACCAAGGGTGGCAGGTTCAAACCTGGCCCCAGTCAAACACAATAAAAAAATAGGCGGGTGTTGTGGTGGGCACTCAGGAGGTGGAGGCAAGAGAATGGCCTAAGCCCAGGAGTTGGAGGTTGCTGTGAGCTATGACACCATGGCACTCTATCAAGGGCAATAAAGTGAGACTCTGTCTCGAAAGAAAAAAAAAAGTGTGAACAGAGAGGAAAATGATAGGTAGGTATCTGCTTTTTCAACAGAGGGTTCTAAAGGACCAAGCTTCAGCAGCTGAGAGGAAACTTTCCAGGCCATAAACCCATCTTGGTACACATATCTTGATGGTTTATGAGGCTGTCCCTTTGAAAGCAGAAGATGACTGCACGGAAAACTCTAGTTACATGCATGTGGCCTATCCGCCACCCTCACAGGTCCAAGGAGGCATCTCTCCCTAAACTGGGGAAGAGATGAATTCACTGCTCATACCAATCCTTGCTTTTTCAGGAAAGACAGGTGGTAGAGCTCACGTTAGGATGCTCCTAGAAATGTTCTAAGGATAGACGGATTTGAGGCTTTCTCAGGAAAAGAAAAAGTAATGTTCTAAGGACTCTACTTGTCACATGCCATTTAATCCTCCCAGCCTGTGGGTATTAACATTTGCACTAGACAGATGAGGAAACTGAGGCATACAGTAGTTGGGTACCTCCAATTTTTCAAGCCTGTAAAGGTCACAGCTGGATTTTGAACCCAGACGGTTCTGCTCTGCTATTGACCAGCGACCCCTGCAGCCTCTCCACTACCCCCAACTGCCCCATTCCTCAAAGGCCAACTGTAAACGCACTCAATGCAAATACGTTGTAATTTCCAGATTTATGACAATTTGGAACTTGGTCAACTGGATTTGTTGGGATGGGAGCGGGTGTCCCGAAGAAGGGTACCTATCTGTGCGCCCAGTCCTGGAGACCCTACTAGGAATAGTCCCCATTTTTGGCCCTCTCCCCAAACTGTCCTGGAGGGTTCTAGAAACTACTACAAAATGCCCCCTCACACACACACACACAATATAGGGAAGCTGGAGCTTTAGCCACCATGGTGAACCAAGAACAAAGTCCAGATGACACTGGCATTAAAATCCCACTCTACGAAGAGGGGAAACTAGACTCATGGGCTGACAGCTCTGTAGGACTCACACCGCGTCTCCGCTCACGTCTCCCGGCGCAGACCGGGTCTGGGCGTCCCCGCTGCGGACACAGCGCCCCCACGGGGCACTCGGGAGCCGCTGCCGCGCGGTGCGTCCTGCGCGGGGAGCGCGCCCTGCCCGCCGGCCGGGGTCAGAGGGACTTCTCCGGGCCGCCGGGTTCGGGCGATGCGCTGCCCTCTCCCGCTCTCCTCGCCGGGGTCGGCGCCCACGGGCCCCCAGGGCGCTCGGGGCTGCAGCGGCCGGGTGCGGAGGGAGCGCCCGCGTGCGCCGTCCTCCCAGGCTCGGTCTGTCCGTCTGTCTGCCCGCACCTCGGGCCGCCGGGCCGCGCAGACCCCGGGGAAAGCGCGCCGCGCTCACCTGCAGCCGCCGCCGACGGCGTCCGGGAAGCGAAACAGAGGCGCGGCCGCCGGCTCTCCCTCGCTGGCCTCCTCGCCTCGCCCGGGCCGCGCTGTCCGCGGGGATCGCTCGTGGGAGTCGAGGGAGAAGCCCGCGCCGCTGCCGCCGTCTCCTTCGCCGCCGCCGCCTGCTCCAAGTCCCATCCCAGAGCGCTCCCCTGCTCGCTGGCTGCCTGGGAGGCTCCGGGCAAGGGCGGGCGGCGGGAGAGGCGGCGCCGCGCGAGGGTGGGGAGCGGGCCGGGCGGAAGGAGGGGTGTCCTCTTTGGGGAAGGGGAAGGCGCGCGGGTGGGGAACGGCGGCGAGGAAGGCCCCACCCTGCAGGCGGCCGCGGGAGCTGGGCGACCTGGCCGCGCGCCCTGCCCTATGCCACCTGGCCCCACTCTGCCTGTCCCCAAGCGCGGGTGCGAATCAGCCTCCAGGCGTCGGGAGCTGCGGCTCGAAACTACAGAAAGCTTTAGGGGCTGGGGGTCGGGGAGGAATGTAGGGAAGTATCTCCAGGGGAGCAGAGGCGTAGCTGGAGTCCTATATCCTGAGCCTCGGGTCATGATCTGCAGAGGGCAACCATCGACGACAACGAAGAGAAAAGTGGTGAGAATTGGGATAATTGGTGACAAGTGCCAGGAGCTGTCTAGGCAGTCCCCAGATCACCGTGCCAGTGCCAGTTCATATTAACAGAGAGTCCACTGGCTGGGGACCAGCCTCCTTAGGGTGGGGAGAAGGTAAAGATGCCAGGACGGATAGAAGACAAGATTCCTACCCTGAAGGAACAGTGAAAGTCTAGTTCAGACAAGACTTGAAATTAAGGGCAAAAACTATTTGCAACTTTGCAAAGTGGGGGAACCTTACCTGAAAGGTCCCCACGGAGCCTTGGAGGGATGTCACAAGACAGGGCAGTGACAGGGAAAAGCTGTAGAGTGAGGCTGGCACCCCACTCTACCAGCTCCCCTGCTCCTGTTGGCTGGGGGAGTGAGCTACAGGCCAGGACATCTAATAAATCTCAAAAGTTCTATACCCAAACACCCAGGTCAGGTTTTAACAAGCTACAGGGAGAGACAGGGAACTAACTAGTCTTTAAACCTCGGGATGCACCACAGTGTAACTCGTGCTTTGTCCTGTGACTCCTATTTGATGTTAGATTGGTTTCTAACACCATGTACAAAATCACTTCTTCAGAAAAGCTCCAGTAGGGGTGATTAAAATTCCAGCTATAAGGCAAAGGGTTAACCTACTCAAGCCATTGGGCAACTGAATGGTGCCATAATGCCAAGAAAGAATCTTGGACTCATGCTCTATTATTCCCTTACCCTACACCTTATACCCACTGGGCGCTCTTGGCTGCCTGCACTGATTAGAAATAGTTTCTTTGTTGTGTCTTTGGGAGGAGAGAGGTGGAGGTCAGAGAGCAGAGGAAAGTCTTCAGGAAATGGTTGGTCTCTGAAATCTTGGATCCCATAGAAGAAAATTCTTCCTGAGTTTGGGCCAGTGAAAATCCCCTAGGAGCTGGGGAAGTGGAGTTAGAGTTAACATTTAAAATGTGTTGCCTTATTCCAAGACACCAGTATGATCCAGTTTTACCAGGAAAACAATAGCAGTCCCCAAATCCTTCCAAATTTTAAGGAAATTGTGATTTAGTAACTTATTTAAGTGACTTTGGTGTATGCCAACTAAAATGGGTGTTTTTTTCCCCTAGGGAGTCCTACTGGAATTCTTCAGAATAGGAAATTGTGCATGAAGCATACTTGAGGCCAAGTCAAATAGATCACATGAGTTGTTCTACCTTGTGGGATAATCTTCAGGTCTGCCAGAAAAAAAAAAAAAAAAAGAAGGAAAAGCAAGTTCAATGTCCTGAAATAGGACAAACCATGCCTCAATTCCCAGGTTACCTTCAGAGTAAATGCAAGATGATAACAGAGCCATTGGAGAAAGGCCAAATTTGATTTCTCTGCCAGAGTCTCTGCTGTGTGCTAGATACTAAGCCTTGTTCCCAAGTGCAAGGTAAAGATTTTCAGTTCTGATGCAGGAACTCATGCAAGCAAACAGGAATGAAGTGCTAGGCTAAGTGTGGTGGCTCATGCCTCTAATCCTAGCACTCTGGGAGGCTGAGGCGGGTGATTGCCTGAGCTTAGTTCAAGACTAGCCAGAGCAAGAGTGAGACTCCGTCTCTAAAAAGAATAGCCAGGTGTTATGAAAGGCTCCGATAGTCCCAGCCACTCAGGAGGCTGAGACAGGAGGATCACTTGAACCCAAGAGTTTGAGGTTGCTGTGAGCTATGATGCAACAGCACTCTATCCAGGGTGACAAAGTGAGACTCTGTCTCAAAAAAAAAAAAAAAAAAAAAACTAAAGAATGAACTAATAATAGGGTAGAATGAGCAGCCTTAAAGCATAGGCAAGAGTGGGTAGAAGTACAGTTTGTTTTCTTGGATACTGACGAGGTTAAAGCCCAGTCTACCTGGAGACAAGGTTCCACTTTTGGAGTGGAGGATGGACTTCCTTTCACATGCATGGGAGCATCACTCAGCCACACAAATTGCTGCTTCTTTTCATCCCTAAACCTAGCAATTGGTGCAAAATGGTCCACTATTAGATGCCAATAGCCTCATCCTTGTAACACTCGACTAATTTCTCTCAAGGCTATTAATGAATCTATGTTTGCATTGGTTGCCTGGTGTTAAATCAGGTTGCAAGATACTTAAGCAATGCCTACGTGCATCTGTTCTATAAAATCCCCCAGCATGCTGGCAGAGCTCTATAAGCAGGGATTCAAGAATAATAAACATACCAGGAGTTAGGACTTTTCCACGTTCTCTCTTGCCGGAGGAAAGAACTGGGACATGGTTATTACCAGGGTCCAACAGAAGGAGAAACACTACAGATGGTTCAGTGGAAAGAATAAAGTAAGAGCTGCTGGGAATCACAAATAAGTTAGAAGATGGAGAAAAAAATAAGATATAGTGAACTAAAATGAACAATTTCCATGGTAGAGCAGTCTCTGAGAAGCAGCAACGGGAATGTCTTTACTCACTTAAAACAAGAATTGGCATAGCTATTCTCAAGTATAGAAAGTGCCAAAAAATCACTGGCTACACATATACTACCTGTGAACAATATGTCTTTTAAAAGAAAGACATTGCAGGCCAGGCATAGTGGGTGGCTCACTCACTTTGGGAGGCCAAGGCCAGAGGATTGCTTGAACCCAGGAGACCAGTCTGGGCAACAGCGAGACTCCATCTCTACAAAATTAAAAAAAAAAATTAGGCTGGGCAAGATGGCTCACACCTCTAATCTGGGAGGCTGAGACAGGTAGACTTCCTGAGCTCAGGAGTTTGAGAACAGCCTGAGCAAAATCAAGACC